CTACATTCACTAGAACAACCTCATTGAATGGTTAACTTAAGAATTTCAGTGATTCTCTTTAACAACTGTGGCAAGAAGGCACATGTCATAAAATGGGGGCAAAATTCACTTAACAACTGTCTCACTTAGCAGCAGAAGTTTAGGGCTCAATCGTGGTTGTAAGGCAAGGACTGCCTGTACTGTGGGAAGGGGCTGTCCAAAGTGGGATTATTTGCTCCACCCTGTGAGATCACGAAAAGCGGAATTTGGGGAGAGAGGATTTAATGCTTTGGCAAAAGAGAATTGTTTTACTTTTTTAAGGGGCAAAAAAAGAAATATCTTGGGCGTCTGAACTCATAGGCTTGAAAAGGAAAGCTGCAAAGACTTTGGCTGGGGTACACAAAAGGGATCTATAGCTTGAAGAAGGATGAAAAAGAAATCCTCAGGTTACAGGCTATTTGATGGAATTAAAGGTTTGAATTAAAGCATTGAAACACACACACACACACACACACATAGACAAACACACACACACACATACATACACACACAGAGAGAGGTGGGAGAACAATATAGAAAAAAGTGACCAGATGGTTCTGTAGAATAGAATAGAATAGAATAGAATAGAATAGAATAGAATAGAATAGAATAGAATAGAACAGAATAGAATAAGAACTAGAATGGAATATAGAATAGAATAGAATGATAAAAAGAATAGAATAGAGTAGAGTAGAGTAGAGTAGAGTAGAATAGAATAGAATAGAATAGAATAGAATAGAATGGAATGGAATGGAATGGAATGGAATGGAGTGGAGTGGAGTGGAGTGGAGTGGAATGGAATGGAATGGAATATAGAATAGAATGATAAAATATAGAATAGAATGATAAAATATAGAATAGAATAGAATAGAATAGAATAGAATAGAATAGAATAGAATAGAATAGCATAAAATAGAATAGAATAGAGTAGAGTAGGGTAGGGTAGGGTAGGGTAGGGTAGGGTAGGGTAGAGTAGAATAGAATAGAATAAGAACTAGAATGGAATATAGAATAGAACAGAATGATAAAAAGAATAGAATAGAGTAGAGTAGAATAGAATAGAATAGAATAGAATAGAATAGAATAGAATAGAATTATTGGCCAAGTGTGATTAGACAAGGAATTAGAATAGAATACTAACTTTATTGTCATTTTAAATGTACACTAATCAGCATACATTAAAATGAGATTTCGTTACATATAGCTGCCAAAAGGGTAACTGCCTCCAATATATGGTCCTGTATTTTAGCCTCTTCATTCCTTTAAGCAACCATTCGGAATTGTTCTCGATTTCCCACTGAGACCATAGTGCAGCGTTTCTCACCCAAGCAACTTTAAGAAGTGTGGACTTCAACTCCCAGAATTCCCCAGCCAGCATACATCAATCAGAATAGAGCTGGAAGAGACCTTGGAGGTCTTCTAGTCCACCCCCCTGCTCAATCAGGAGACCCTATACCATTTCAGATAGGTGGCTGTCCTATCTCATACATTCGGAGTTGAAGTCCACACGACTTAAAAGTCGCCAGGGTTGACAAATGTTGCTTATAGTTCAGTACAAATAATTAGCAAAAAAACAACTCTCACATTCAAATTCCATTACAAAATGTAAGCTTTCCCCCCCCCATCACTATGGAACCCCAGTTGTTTGTGTGATTGCAGTGAGCAAAGATAGGAGAACATGACAATCATAGATTTGAAGCAAGTACTAACATGGCTTGGATTGGAAAACAATGCTTTCCTGTAGTCAAGACAAGTGGGGGGCAAGGAGAAAAGGCAGGGTTTCGTGGGGCTTCTAGTACTTTTCCACAATTGCAAAACAATTATTTTTTCTAAAACCTCCACTTCTGAATGACAACTCTGGAAAGAAGCGTTTATTTGCTGTGGTGTTCAGGTTGGCAATGAGCAATTTTGCCCTCAAATTACCCCTATGAATTTATTTATTATTTATTAAATTTGTTTGCCACCCAACTTGCTGCAAGGCAATTCTGGGTGGCTTAATAGAATTAAACCCTGAACAGGCTTCTTTCCCAAGCTGTGTGTTTGAAATTGTGGATTTGTGTGCTTATTATTTTGTCTTAAAAGAAAAAGAAAAATAGGGCAAGCTGCTACGTATCTATTTGCAAAGCCCCAATTTGGATATAAAAATGCCACGGCTATTTTTTTCTTTTTAATGGGGAGGGAAGAATGGGAAGAAACTACTAGTAGAAAGATATATAGAAATGGCAAGTATGGCCTGCCTTTCTGTAAAAGTGAGTGGAAAAAAACACTTCAAGTTTCTTTTTCCTCTAAGTTGGATAAACTTTAGAGATAGCCAAGCCCTGGAGAGTTTGCTAGCATCTGTTTCTTCGCCGAAGCATATTATTAATAGAACAGGCATCACGGAGTCGCCAAAGCAAATACACTAGGGTGGTGTTGTAATTCCAAAGTAACTTTGCCATCTTGAGATTTAACTTCTGCACTCCACTCAGGATCAAAAATATGGGTATGAATTGTGTAATTGGCTTGATAATACCAATTAGCCACCAGGACCTCAGGGAAAGCTGGCAAAGGTGAAATTAGTTTGTTGCAAAGAAAAGTGTAGCATAGCATCATCTTGATTTCCCAGGGTGCCCCTTTGTCCATTGAGACTGGAGAAACTTTTTCGAAAAGTAAAAATAATGGATAGTGTCAACTTTGTTTGGAAGTACTGATCTACTCAGGGAAAAAAATTGGGATGAAGAGCCCATGCTGGAAGGCATGGCAGAGAAGAATTGAAGAAAAATTGTCTTCTGATAAAAAGCCATTTTGTGGAATGTCAATACCTGACATTCATGGCAGCCATATGGTGAGAGACACATGTCCTCAAAATCTTGAGATTTGTCCACTGAACGAAATATATTCTAGCTGAGATCTGGTTTAAGAGCATTTTCTCTGATTTGAACAGAAGACAGGTAGTCCTCAACTTACAACAGTTCATTTAGTGACTGTTCGAAGTTACAATGGCATTGAAAAAAGTGACTTATGACCATTGCAACATCCCCTTGATCACGGGATCAAAATTTGGATGTTTGGCAACCGGCTCATATTTTCACAGTTGTTGTGGCCTGGGATCATGTGATCCCCTTTTGCGACCTTCTGAAAAGCAAAGTCAATGGAGGAAATCAGATTCACTTAACAACTGTGTCACTAATTTAAAACTTACAGTGATTCATTTAACAACTGTGGCAATAAAGGGCATAAAATGGGATAAAACTCACTTAGCAAAGACATTTTGGGCTCAGTTCTGGTCATAAATCAATCTATCTATCTATCTATCTATCTATCTAGATATAGATATAGATATAGATAGACAGACAGATAGATAGAGATAGATAGATATAGATAGATATAGATATATAAATAGATAGATAGATATATAGATAGAGATAGAGATATACGGATATATAGATAGATATATAGATAGCTATATAGATAGATATAGATAGATAGATAGATAGATAGATAGATAGATAGATAGATAGATAGATAGAGATAGATAGATAGATAGATAGATAGATAGATAGATAGATAGATAGATAGATAGATAGATAGATTGCAATATAGCTCTATGTGGGAACATCTAAGACCACCAAAATGGGTCCTGATTCCTTTGCCCATAATCATGTAAACAGTACAACCCATTTAGGTTCTAGGCCAGTTTTCCCAACTACCTGATTTGTGGCCAATTCCCAGAATTCCCCAACTTTAACAGGCCATTGCTGAGAATTCTGGGAGTTGAAATTCCCAATATTTGTAAGTTGGGAAACACTGGTCTATACCAAATACCTGAGACATTTAAATATGAAATATGGTACCAGTAAATAATAAGCACAGTTGTTACCTGGATAGAAGGATGCTATCTTAATTCTCCCCACTGAGTTCCTATAACAACTGGGCATTGGTATAAAATTAATATAATAAAAGCACAACATGCTGTAGCAAGGTGATAGGGGTTTTACATGAGTCCAATTCTTTATTTGCTTACACCTAATAGACAAGATCTTGCCAGACTAAAGCTATAACCTTCTAACCTGATCTGATATACCCCAAGAGATCCATGTAGTAGAATCTTGCAAGTTTGATTGTGCCATGCCACTTCTACCCATGCGAATTAGGGAAGTGTCTTACACATGCTTTCTGCTTGTTTGGGACATAAGATGTGGTATCAGATCTGGCCCGTCAAAGTCATCTTCCTTATTCTCTACAGATCCGTAAGGCATTATTGATCGTTGTTTTATGAATTTATAGCTGACTGATGGTTTAATTATTTATGACAGTCTGGTATTTTATAACTTGCTGTGTGTTTTGTTATTACTGTGTAAACTGCTTAGATTAATCCAATAGAAGTGCCACAAAGGATGGATGGATGGATGGATGGATGGATGGATGGACGGGCAGATGGATGATAGATGGGTAGATGGATGGTGTATGATAAATGGATGGATGGATGGAAGAACTTTGTGAAAGCCAGTTGAGTGTAGGACTGGCAGAACCTGAAGATGGAGTGAAAAGGGGGATCAACCTAGAATCCTCACACAGTCACAAGTGAACTAAGTCCAGCCCCTTTGAGTGCCATTGATCCTTAGCTATCTTATGTAACAAAAACTTGAACTCTAGTAACTGGCCTACAGTATTATCTGGGATGCTACACATCCTCTCCATGACTGGTTTTCTTTGTTACCTTCTGGGAGAAGACTTTGCAGAATACAAAGCAGAACAACTAGACTCTATAATAGCTTTATATCATATAGTATCAACCTTGTTAACGCTCAAGACTCTTTTTTTCCGCTATGTATTCAAAACGGACTGTGATTTATATATATAAATATATATATAGGATACTCCAACAAATTATCGAGTTGCAACAATCAACAACCACCCACATTCCTATAACTGACATTTCTTCTGTAAACACTTTGGGTTTCCCAGCTAAGAGCTTTTGAAAAAGACTCCACTTTGGCCAGTTACTTATAAAACAGCTTCTTTTTTATTTTTACAAACATAACAATTGCACGTTCTCTTATTTTGTCCCTTAATGTCCAGGTTGTGTGAAGGTTGCTGTTTCTGCCCATTAGATGGATTGAGATACAAAGAGCTGTTGTTATGCCAAAAGAGAATGTTGTGCGCAAAGTCTTGTTTTTGGAAGGATCCTAGTGGAGGGTTGTTTTCTTCACCGGTGTAAATTCCACGCTAACATATTCATGGGCGTTACACACCGACGCTTCTTGTTTTGGGTGATTTATCCCTGGGTTAGGGACTGTCTTGCCTATCCAAATTTCACTGGCATTTGCCAAGCTGTATGCGCAAGACACCCTGGGCATACATATCAATATAACGGGAGAACTCTTCGGACATGCTATGAACGAAAGGATGTGGCAACACATTGTCATAGTAGTGATGATTGATTGGCTTCCCAGTTAGGTCAAATAAAAAGGGCCAGAAACCATAGAGAGTGATGTGGTCACAGAATTCCAGAGCAAAACTGGTGAACATGAAGCCAGTGGACAGACGTATTTCTGTCATCCCTTTCTGTTTCCAATAGATATCAAGGGCACGCAGGTAATGTGGGTTGAGGAAGAAAGCCTGGTGGGGCAGGCCAATATCCTTTAGGATGTGTAAAGCACGGTAGCCAAGTTCAATATGATCATGAAATGATAACGCAGGAATGAGGAAAAGGGCATTTGGGTAGGCTCGAACAGCATCTATAAAAGCCATCGGAGGACCCTCCAAGTTTTTGAATCTTCAAAAGAAAAACAGGAGAGAGAAAATCCCAGAGGAAAACCTAAAAGTGGTACAATGGTACACACTCAACAATCCAAAGCATATGAACAAAACAGATTTGCAGATGTAGGAGTCCATTTTGAACGTTTTTTTAGCAAAACACCATTAAGGGGAGCTGGGAGCAAAATGATAACTTGGAGGGAGGAATCTAGAGGGAAGAAGTTAGCAAAGGTCTGATTTTAGTCAAACTAGGCAGGTATGTTGTGTCCCTGGAGCAAAAATCAAAGATGTCACTGAGAACCTTATTCAAATAATCAACCCCATGGATTATTATCCCTTTCTTCTCCTACACCAGGGCTTTTCAACCTTTTCACCCATTGTACCACTTTTAGGATATGGCAACATCCGAGTACCACCAGTCGCCTAGCAAGGTGTCAGAAACTTGATGAACCCCCCCCCAAAAGGGAAAAAATGATAAAGTACAGGTAGTCCTCGATTTACAACAGTTCGCTTAGTGACTGTTTGAAGTTACAATGGCACTGAAAAAAGTGCCCCCCACGCCACAGCCGAGCAAGACACCTGCCTGCCTGCCCGGCGGCGCTCTTTCTCCTGTCCGAGGTTTCCATTGTTGTGAGCATTTCTTATGAGGATTGGCAGCGGGGATGGGGTGGGGGGTGTTTGGTTTTTATTCCCCCCCCCCGTCTGCTAGGTGGTTGCAGCAGGTTTTGGTCACTTCACATGACCCTGGGACACTGTGATCATCATAAATATGAATCAGTTGCCAAGCATCTGAATGTAAATCACAAGACCCTGGAGAGGCTGCAACATTCCAGCTGATTGGTGCTTCTTCTGGGCTCATCAGAAGCATCAGGATCAGTGCTGCTTTCAGGCTGATTGGTACTTCTTCAGGGCTCAGCAGAAGCATCAGGATCAGCGCCAAGCTCTAGCTGGAGCCTGGTGCTGATCCTGGTGCTTCCACTGAGCCCTGACAGCCCCAAAGAAGCACCGATCAGCTGGAAAGTAGCATTGATCCTGGTGCTTCTGCTGAGCCCTGATAGCCCTGCAGCTCCAGCCATCTCTCGCTCAAACATGTGCGGTGCTGTCACCAGTTCAGCTCATTCCCCTCCCCCGCTACCACATTTCTAGGATGGTCGCGTACCACCTGCCATGTGCCAATGTACCACAGGTGGTACCCGTACCACTAGTTGAAAAGCCCTGTCCTACACGTGGGGACCCATTGACACAACAGTGAATATGAAAACAATAGCAAAAGATTACCAACACTAGGGAAGAAATTTAAAGAATTAGGAGCACAAGTAGTGTTTTCATCTATACTTCCAACAAAATGCCAACATCCAATCAGGGAGCAAAGGTTTTTAGAAATGAACCACTGGCTTAAAAACTGGTGTTGTCAAAAGAACTTCAGTTTCCTAGACCATAGTCTGCATTAACTACATGAAGGGCTACTGGCAAGGGATGGAGTGAACCTCACAAGAACCGGAAAGACTATATTCGGAAAATGACTGGTTCATCTTATCAGAAGAGCTTTAAACTAAAATTGAGGGGGGAGGGTCTTCGAGATATTTAGAACCTAATTCCAACAAAAACCATTAGATAGCCAATCATATAAGGAAGTAGGGAGTAATGAGAAAGAAGAAGAAAAGGAAAAACACAATGAAGTAGAGAGTGATGGAAAGGTACTCAAGACCTATAAAGGACTCAAATGCCTATACACGAATGCTCAACGTTTAGGGAACAAACAGGTGAACTTGAAGTACTAATATATGAAGGTAAATATGATATACTTCCCATTACTGAACAATGGTGGGATGAAACTCATGATTGGAATGTACTGATGGAAGGATACAAACTATTCAAAAGAAACAGACCTAACAAAAGAGGAGGTGGAATTGCATTATATATAAAAGATCACTACATCTCTATAGAAATCCACAAAACCAGGGATGAAAACCTCCTAGAATCCATGTGGGTCAACATAAAAGAAAAAAAGAATGACATTGCTATAGACATATACTACAGGCCACCTAACCAAGCAGAAGAAATACATGAACTTTTTGCTAAATAACTAACAAATGTATGTAAGAAATATATCCTCATAATAATGCGAGATTTTAACTACCCTGATATCAACTGAGAGACAAACTCTGCAGCAAGTGGGAGATCAAACAGATTCCTAGCCAACCTAGCTGACAACTTTGTCATCCAAAAGGTAGAGGAGGGAATTAGAGAAAAAGCTATATTGGACCTAATTCTTACTAATAGAGAAAAAGTGATAGAGGGAGTTGAAGTTGCTAGAACTTTGGGCGAGAGTGGCCACACCATATTGGAATTCAATATAATGCAAAGACAAGCAATAGAACATCAGCCAGCCAGTGTCTTAAACTTTAAAAGAGCTGTTTTTAACAAACTCGGAGAGAGAATACGAAAAATTCCATGGATGAAAATCCTAAAGGGGAAAACAACTCAAGAAATGTGAGAAATTCTGAAAAATATGATCATAAAAGCCTAGTCTAGCACAATACCACTGAAAAGGAAAAACAAGAAACCCAAGAAGAAACCAGCATGGTTACACAAAGACATTCTTCGTTCACAGATTGTAGTGGTTTATTGTTTGTACTTACACAATCGCCTTACCTATTAGTAAGAACACTGGGGTTGATGGTCACTAGGTGTGTTTTCGTTCCCACATCTTCAGTTCTATTCAAGGGAGGCAAATTAAACCTGGGTGGGGGAGCAAATAGAAAACAGACCCAGAGAATAATCTCAAGCCAATGCATTACTGTTATTTAAAACTGCAAAAGAAGGGAAATGGGTAGGTTCGGTTCTGTTCTTAATGGGGGGGGAGGTGGGAATTTTTGTAAGAACTTCAAACGGGCATTGTTGTTGCCAGAGTCTCACCATCCTAAATTCTTTGTGCTAACTCTTGATCCTGTTTCAAACATCTTCAGCCCAGAACCAGATGGTGGAAGAGTTTTCTGTCATCTCTTGAAGAAATGGCTTCTTCCTTGCCATTTTCTTTGGATGTGCCACCTACGTAAGGCCCTGTTTTTATCATACTGAAGGGGAGTTTTATGCTTATAGGATTCCCAAATAAGCAATGGTTTTAATTGCAAAAACACTAGAAATTAAAGCCCCTGTGTCCAACAGGGAAAAGGAGGAGGAGGAGGAGAAGGGGAAGGAGAAGGGAAAAGAGGAGGAGGAGGAAGAGAAGGAGAAGGGGAGGGGTAGGAGGGGAGGAAGGTAGAGGGGAAAGGAAAGAGAAGGAGAAGAGGAAGGAAAAGAGGAAAAAAGGAAGGAGGAAAAAAGGGGATGGGCAAATAAAGGGATGGGGAAGAAGAAGAAGAAAAAGAATAAATAAGAAAGAGAGGAAGGAGAGGGAGAGGAAGAGAAAGAGAAAGAAAGAGAAGGAAGAGGAAGACGGGGAGGCGAGGAAAGGAAGAGGAGAAGGAAAAGGAGGAGAAGGAGAAAGGGAAGGAGAAAGAAAAGAGAAAAGAGGAAGGAGGAAAAGAAAGGGGGCTGGGCAAGTAAAAGGGGATAGGGAAGAAGAAAAATGAGGAAGAGGCGAGGAAGGGGAGGAGGAGAGAAAGGGACAGAGGTAGGAGGAGGGGAGGGAAAGGAACAGAAAGAGAAGGAGAAGGGGAAAGAAGAGGGGGAGGGAAGGAGGAGGAGAAGGAAAAGGAAAAAGAGAAGGAGAAAGGGAAAGGAGAAGGTGAAAGAAAAGAGGAAAAGAGGGAGGAGGAAGAGAGGGGGTGGGGAAGGAAAAGGAGGCAGAGAAGAAGAAAAAGAAAATGAAAGAAGAAAAGAGGAAGAGGAAGGAAGTGGAAGAGACGCTAGGAAGAGAGAAAGAGAAGGGGAAACAGGAGGAAAGGAAGAAAGAGAAGAAAGATAGGGAAACGAGAAAGTATTTACTTTGATAAACCAAGGAGATAAAGGTTTCCAGAGCTCCTTATGATCCCAACCCTTTAAACTGAGCTCTCCAAGAAAGAAACAGCTACCTTATGATAAAATCAGCCTGGTCAATTTCTTGTCCACACCTGCTATCTTGCAGGATACCACCGTTGCCAATGAGGGCACATTTGCTATACTGGGCATCTGCCAATGGAAATCTCTAGAGGGCCCAGGAAAGAAGGGGGGGAAAAAAAGAATTAAAAATGGATGCATAAGCCCCTGAATGCAAACATTTTAATGAATTGGGCCTCAATTTATCCTTCAGGTAGACTCAAAGGCAATGCAGGGACCTTTAGCAAGGATTCCCTTAGAGCAGTGTTTCTCAACCTTGACAATTTTAAGGCATGTGGACTTCAACTCCCAGAATTCCACAGCCAGCAATGCTGGCTGTGGAATTCTGGGAGTTGAAGTCCACATGCCTTAAAATTGTCAAGTTGAGAAATACTGCCTTAGAGCAGCTTATTTCATTACATTTGTTCAAAGGGGACTTGACTTGGGATCTGACCCGTTTTAGGCAAATAATGAAATACTGCCTTGGATATCCAGGTAAGTCCTTGAGCCCAAATGTTCCATTGCTAACCAAGTCAGTTGTTGAGTTTTGTCCCACTTTACGACCTTTCGTGCCACAGTTGTTAAGTGAGTCACTGCAGTTGTTCAGTTAGTAACGCGGTTGTTAAATAAATCTGGCTTCCCCACTGACTTTGCTTGTCAGAAGATCACAAAAGGGGATCACAAGATCCTGGGACACTGCGACCGCCCTAAATATGTCAGCTGCCAAGTGTCTGAATTTTGATCACATGACCATGGGGATGTTGCAACGGTCCTAAGTGTGAAAAAACAGCCATAAATCCCTTTTTTTTCAGTGCCATTGTAATGGTCACTAAATGAACTGCTGTTGAATCGAGGACTACCTGTATCCTGCCCCCATTGGTTTCCCTCCCACCAAAACCCAAAGAATGCCTCTTCTCTTACCTCCAATAGCATATTTGTCAGCTTGGAATCCACAGTTATAATCTTAACTTTCACACCATCAAAATGGATGGTGGATCCCAGCGGTGCGTTTTCCTTGGTTACCACCAGCCGATGAGAGGCATTGCAGCACTGTCCTAGCTCTGCTCTAAAAGAAGGCAGTGGTGGGGGTTAACTTGGAAAGGGATCCTTGTGCAGCAGCAGCCAAAAAAGCCAGTGCAATCCTAAATTCCATCCTTCCGAGATCGGTAAAATGAGGATCCAGATTGTTGGGGGCAATATGGTGACTCTGTAAACCGCTTGGAGAGGGCTATAAAGCACTGTGAAGCAGTATATAAGTCTAAGTCAGTGGTTCTCAATCTTTTTAATGCCGCGACCCCCAACCGGTCGTAAGTCGAGGACTACTCAACCGGTCGTAAGTTGAGGACTACTCAACTGGTGCAGCACCGTTTGCAGACTGGGACTTTTGGCGGGCTCAGCAGGGCAGAGACACCTGGACAATTCCTCTTGGTTTTAAAAGCCAATAGAATTAGACTCTACTCAAGAGAGTCTATTCTATTGGCTTTCAAAAGCCAATAGAATAAAAGGGAGTAGCACAGCTAAGGAAAAGGGGGAAAAAATGGCGGACTGCGTTGATTGGCGACCCCCGTGAAATGGTCGTTCGACCCCAAATGGGGTCCCGACCCACAGGTTGAGAACCCCTGGTCTAAGTGCTATTGCTGTTGCTAAGTTGCATTAACAGAGGGATTGAATCAAGATCACTTGAGGTACTAGTATAAAGCTTTAGTAAGGCCACACCTAGAATATTGCATCCAGTTTTGGTCACCACACTATAAAAAATATGTTGAAACTCTAGAAAGAGTGCAGAGAAAAGCAACAAAGATGGTTAGGGGCCTGGAGGCTAAAACATATGAAAGGTTACAAGAACTGGGCATGGCTAGTCTAGTGAAGAGAAGGACCGGGGTGACATGACAGCAGCATTCCAATATTTGAGGGGCTGTCGCAGAGAATTGGGGGTCAACCTATTTTCCAAAGCACCCCAAGGCCAGACAAGGAACAATGGACAGAATCTGATCAAGGAGAGATTCAACCTAGAAATAAGGAGAAATTTTCTGACAATGAGAACAATCAACCAATAGAACTTTCATCACTGGTCAGAAATGGCATAGGGTCTGCTGCTTGAGCTGGGGTTGGACTAGATGACCAGCAAAGTCCCTTCCAACTCTGTTAGTCCAAGAGTTAGAACATCAGCTGCATGTTGTTGCAGCGACTGGAGTCAGAAAGGTGATTTTATATTCCCACCCCAGGAGCTGGATAGACGAAGCGTTCCCATAGGCCTGGGTGTCAAACTCAATTTCATTGAGGGCCGCATCAGCATTGCGGTTGCCTTCAGGGGGGCAGATGGGTGTGGCCAGGGTGTGGGCGGCCTACTGGGTGGGTGTGGATGGAGTGGGTGTGGCCTAGTGGGTGGACATGGCCAGTTCTACATTGTTCGTGTCAAGGGTGCCTGTGGGGGCCTGGGCAGGCGTGGGACAGATCTGAGGGTCTCTGGCAGAAGGGGGTGGGACCGGGGCAAGCACCAAGGCATGGTCCATTTCTTCATTCCTCACAAAGGGTGACACCTCCCCAGCATGCACCCAGGAGGTGGGGCCAACACAGTAGGGGCTGGTTCCTCGCTATTTCTAGATGGCCTTGTTGAGCTAAGACTGAATGCGTTTCAGCATAGATGGCCACCACAAAATTGTACATTGGCTCCCGGCTGGCCTGGGCCAGGACCAAGGCAGCAGGGGCCGTTCCCTCACTGTTTCCAGGATGGCTTCGCGGGCCACATGAAACCACTTCGCGGGCCGCATCTGGCCCCCGGGCCTTGTGTTTGACATGTCTGCCATAGGCTGAAAGGTTTGCAGAATTGCGACACTGGAAAAGCTATAAAAACCCAGCTTTACATAAACCAGAAAGACGCTGGATGGTCCCTCAACCAGCATCCTGAATGTGGATTGGTAGAGACACCACTTCTGAACTATTGCAAAGAACCTTTTATATACAGCTTTTGGGAGGGGGCGACCAGAAGAAACATAATTCATCATCATTGTTCTCTTAATACTGGTAGTCCTTAACTGCAATGGGGACCAGATTTTCCAGGTAGTCCTTAACTGCAATGGAGACCAGATTTTCCATTGCTAAGCAAGGGAGTTGATAAGTGAGGCGTGTCTAATTTTACCCTCTTTTTCACCAGGTCGTTAATGAATCCCTGCATCTAAATGAGCCATGAGGTTTTCCCATTGACTTTGCTTATCAGAAGCCATCTGGGAAGGTCACAAACAGTGATCACCTAACCCCAGGACACTGCAACCATCATAAATGCCAGTTGCCAACTTTGGATCACCTGGCCGTGGGAATGCTGTCACGGTTGTAGATGCGGAGACTGGTCATAAGTCACTTTTTGAGTGTGGTTGTAACTTCAAACAGTCAATATGTGAACGGTTATAAGTCAAGGACTACATGTAATGAACCTGTCCTATGGATAAAGTAATCAAAGGGCAGTGTCAGCTGCCACTTTGGGCTTGCTTGTGCTTTGCTGATATGCGGTGACACTGCCATGAACTATGGAGAAGAGGGACAAAAGAGGGAATGCTTGGGAAATCAAAAGTAGGTGCTGTGTCTTCTCGAGAAGCTGCTTCAAGGTCGCCCAGCTGGAAGGAGGAGAGAGTGGCATACACAGAGCATGCTTGATCTGACCATTAGGAAAGCAGGTTGCAAGATTTTAAGTGGTTAACCTGGGGTGGGAAACGAAAGACAGTTGAGGAAGGGAAAGTATAACATAGGGATTTTGACGGCGAATCTCAGTTCTGGCTATGCATTACTGCAATACACGATCTCTAATTAAAAAATATACCATTCTCAGCAAATGGAGCCAAGGATCATTTTCCATTTAGAGGTTTAAGTTTGTGGCAGGTCTGACAGGCAGGCAAGCCAATACCTTCTCAAACTGTGATTTGGGTAAACCAGTAGCATTATTACCTATGCTGCATAACCGCTGTAGCATTGGGTTTCCAAGGACACTCCTGAATAAGCATCAGCTGCCACCTTAGCACCTCGTCCGTGGAGAATTTTCCATTCTTAAATAATGGGTCCTGACCTCCAGCACTATCATCAAAACGGAGAGAAGAAAACATTTTTTCCCAGGAACTTTCTAATGGTACCTCCCTTCCCAGACCAGGCAGCGTGAAATTAAGCTCCAACGCAGATTCATAAAAACTTGATATACCGTAAATGCCGGCGTATAAGACGACTTCCGCAAGCGCTGAAATCGGCGCCAAAGACGGGGGTCGTCTTATACGCCGAGTCGTCTTATACGCCGGAAATACTGGTAGTTTCCAGCGTATAAGACGACGTTCTAGGAATGCGGCCCGGCTATAAAGACGGGGGTCGTCTTATACGCCGGGTCGCCTAATACGCCGGCATATACGATAATTCTTGTGAAGGTATATTTATTAATATATATGTATATAGGTGTGCATCTATCTATCTATATCTTATCTGTATCTCTAATCTATACCTCTACCTATAGACCTATACCTAATCTAATCTACTAATCTATCTATCTAACTATCTATCTATCTATCTATCTATCTATCTATCTATCTATCTATCTATCTATCTATTCTGTGTCTGTGTCTGTGTCTGTGTCTGTGTCTGTGTATGTGTGTACATTCCTTAACTCAGTGGTGGCAAACCTATGGCACGGATGCCAGAGGCGGCACTCAGAGCCCTCTCTGTGGGCACGCGTGCCGTCGCCCCAGACCTAGGCCTTCAGCTGGGTTTTATAAAACCTTTTCGCTTTAGGCCTCCGCCGCCATGTACAAAAAAAAAAGGTTCAATCAATCAGTCAATTTCAACTTCTCGCGGGGAAAAAAAAGATCTTGCAAAGTTGGAATTGATTGATTGAACTTTTTAGTCTGCTGTTACCACCACAGCCACGCCCACTCAATGGGCCACACCCACCCGGCACCCGATGATGCATAAGTGGGTTTTGGGTTGCAGTTTGGGCACTCGGTCTCTAAAAGGTTCGCCATCACTGCCTTAACTTTTCTCCCAAATTTTCCTTATTTTATTTTTTAAATATTTTCTATGAAGAATAAGTGGTAAGACAGCCATGACTTTAAGGCATCCTAAACTACCACTGCTCAAGGAATTTATATAATATATGGGGGGGGGAAAATGAAATTAAACCAATGTTGTATCTATTTAATAAAAAAAAACCCATAGAGGTTTAGGTAATACTGTATCTAATAATAATGAAGAAACATGATGGTATTTATCTGTAACTGAGCCAGAATCAGATAAAGCAACTAAACCTATATTTCATTTATATATTTGTTCAGTTAAGGGTTGAACAAATATATAATGTTGCCGAGGACTCATGCAAATGAGTTAAAAGTTTCCACATATCACCAACTGTATTCCAATAAATAATTTTAAAATATCTGAAATAATTTCCACGCATGAAACTTAATTTGAATGGGAGACTACTCCAACTTAATTAAAACTCTTAAACAGTGGTTGTTTCAGATTTGGGTGAACTTCAACTTCCCAGAACTCCCAGACAGGTTTGAGATAGGTGGCTATATCAGTCCAATAAATAAATGACAAAGTATGCAAACAAATAACTTTAGGCAATCGCTCATTTGAGCTGGAAAACCCCAAACTCACCTTACTAAGAAAGACATTGTTTTTAAAACTTGATTCACTTTCTGGCATGTTATTTTTTTTTCTAACGGGACCTGTTTACTAGAAAAGACAGAGGAAAGGGTGGTTAACTGAATTGAATTGAACTGAATACATTTTCTTTCCGATGGTTTAAAAGCACCTGAAGTTTTAAGAGTGAATTTAATCCCTAAATAAGGATGCCTCTGCAAATAGATGCCTTTATGATTTAACCAAGGACTGTTCCTCAGATGGGGAAGAATTTGTCCCAGAGAACCAGCAAACCCTTGGGTGAGGAATCTGATATATGCCACTCCTCAAATCACAGAACTTTAACCCTTATATTAATAATACAAGCAGTACTCAATTTACGACCACAACTGAGCCCAAAATTTCTGTTGCTAAGTGAGTTTTGCTCCATTTAACGACCTACCCTGCCATGGTTGTTAAGTGAATCACTGCAATTGTTAAGTGAGTAACATGGTTGTTAAGTGAATCTGGCGTCCCCCTTCACTTTGCTTGTCACAAAAGGGGATCACATGGCCCCAGGACACTGCAACCATCACAAATATGAGTCAGTTGCCCAGTGTCGGAATTTTGATCATGTGACCATGGGGTTCCTGCAATGGTTGCAAGTGTGAAAAACAGCCATGTCACTTTTTTCAGTCACTAAATGAACTGTTGTTAAGTCGAGGACTACTTGTATTGTATTATACTGAAAATGTCTAAAAAAAAAACCTTGTGGCTTCCTATCCAGTTTGCTTGAAGAAATACAAACTCATATGCAGTACTCACTGTTTGAATTTCTCCCATAGCAGACTAGTGATGCTAATGAGTAAGATAATGCCAACCGCTAATTTCTGCTTTCTCAGGCATATGCTGGAGAACATAATACAAGGAATTGATGTTCAGTTTTCAGTCTTCCAATGTCTTCTTCCTTCTCTGCAGTCACTCTCAGAAAATTAGGCTCTTTGACGAAACAAAAATTACACAGAAAATATTAATTAATCAAAAACAAGGACTATTGAGAGAGTACCTTCTCTGCTATCTCTATTTATTCCTATCACAAAAGAGTACTGGTGGTCCTTGACTTACAACCGTTCCTTTAGTGGCTGTTCAAAGTTACAACGGTACTGAAGAATAAGACCTAAAGATGAATTAAAAACATATGTAATAATATATATAATTTTCATATATACGAGACCCCTATTCTGGTCTCTTAATCATCCTTCCTCCCAGCAACAATTTAATGGGGGGGGGGTGTTATTGCCCATTTTCCTGTCCTTGTCTCCTGCTCCCAGCCCCTATTTTATTTTTTAATTATTTTTTGCAAAGTAAAAAGAGTTGTGTGACTGCAAATAAATTAGTGAAAAGTAAAGCGAAACAAAAGTGATAAGTAAATAGGGAAAAAAGGAAGGCAGGAAGGCAGAAAGGCAGGAAGGAAGGAAGGAAGGAGAGAGAGAAAGAAAGAAAGAGAGAGAGAGAGAGAGAGAAAGAAAGAAAGAAAGAAAGAAAGAAAGAAAGAAAGAAAGAAAGAAAGAAAGAAAGAAAGAAGCAACTTCTCATCTTCTTTACAGCCTTTATAAGTATATTTACTGTATATTTTATCTTCTCCCTGCAACATGGCTTATTTCTTTCCATATTCTACTCTTTCTTTTTCTTTTAGAAATGTTTTATTGATTTTTTACAATAACAATCCTTAGTGCCTAATGTACAGCGTGTTGTCTTGGTTCATAAATTTTGAAAAAAAAACAATGGTAGTTAATTAACAGTCAATAATAATTAATTTTTGTACTTCCATAATTAGTATATTAGTTAATAGTATATTTCTTTGAATTTCCCTCCTCCCAATAGTATTCTCCTTCTTCAACCTTAAACAAATATAATGTTAATATTTTCAATGCATAAAAGGTTAAATATAAACATTTTTTTCATGTTTGTACAAATAATAATGTCCATACATGACATTTTTTTCTTATCAGCGTGTTTTTATAAAAATCATCTTATTAGTTCATCATATATCCTATTTTCATAATTCTTATTTAAGCTTAATTTCTCTTTAATATTCAAACAGTTCTTATCAGTCATAACTTTCTCGATATTTATCATTTAAATATCCAGATTTTCCATTTAGATACACCATCCCAATGTTTTCATATTTCATGTGTTATAAAAATACTATACTGCTTATCTATCTTATGATATCTATCTATAACATCTTTTCTGATCAGTTTATATTTCACTTATATTTGTAAAAGTTAATTTGTTAAATCACTATATCCTATTTTCAAAGTTCTTATTTAAGCTTAATTTCCCCTCTATATTTCAGTCATTCCTTAATCCTAATTCTCTTCAACTTAATTTACTTTTGAATTTCAAACATTTCATTCACATACATCATCCCAATATTTTTTCTTCTTCTTCTTCTTGTGCCATATCTGTTATCAGATTTTGGCGATCATGTTGGCGATCCTGTTTTTATATTATAAAAAATACTATATTACTTATATCTTTTATTCCTCTTATTGTAAGGCCCCTTTATATCTAAAGTTATCTGTTCTTTTAACCATATTCAAGCCATATTCTACTTTTTCTAAGTATCAAATCCATCAATGACGAGTTCATTTCCCCCCATTTTTTAGCAAAAAGTTCATAAAGGGTTTCTACTCACTAATAAATATATAATCACTGTCTTTTTCTTAATCAAATAAGTCAATTTTTGCCCTCTCTGCAAATTTTGCCAACTTCAACCACCATTCCTTCCTTGTGGGTGTTTCAGAGCCTTTCTATTTTTATTCACCTTATAATCTTACCTTGCAAGCACAATAATATAATACTGTAAACTGCTCAAAATTATCGCACAGGAAAATGGGCAGCTTATAAATTTTACAAATAAATAAATACAAATCTCACTGCAATTGCCGCACACAAAACCAATCACCCTTAAATCTTTTATAGTTGTCTGTCCAACTGTACCAGCAAGAAAAATGTCTGATTTCAATTGAATGTTAATCTTTAAAATTATTTTATCTCACTGAGTAGATTTGAACCCAATTTTTTTCTGGCCTTTTCACAAGTTCATCCAGCATGATAAAATGACCCCTTTGTGTTTTCCACATTTCCAATTTAGATCTGAAATATCCCAACAGTCCACCATTCTGCAGAAATCCTCTTTTAAATTCCTAACCTAACATGAGTTTCAGTTCTTTCGACCACATATTGGTCTAATGGTGAAGGCATCAGGCCAGAAAGTGGGAGGCTGTGAATTCAAGTCCTGCTTTAGCCACGAAAGCCAGCTGGGTGACTTTGGGCCAGTCCTTCTCTCTCTCAACCCAACCCCCCCCTCACAGGGTTATTGTTGTGAGGTAAATCAGGAGGAGGAAGTTGTGTTGGCTATGTTCATTGAGTGATTTCCAAAAATAATAAAGGCGGGATACAGATAAATATTTTTCCATTGATCCTGTATGTTGCAACCAAAGATCTTAGCACATTTAATCATACACTTTTTCGCTTGTTCTTCCATTTCAAATTTCAGTAGAAGCTTTTGATCTTTTCCAGGCCTGGGATTTTAAAGAGCGGGGCAGAAAACAACACAACCACAATATTGTCATTATTACTGTGGGAAGTCAGTCCCCCCCCCCACAGAGAAAGAAATATTTTTGGGAATATTAAAAGGCAAAATATTATATTTCCTCAAAGGATCTTAAAGACAGAAACTCCCCCCCCTCCCAAATCTCTCTGCCCCAAACAGAAACCAGGTCTGCAGAAATGCAGATGGGATTATCTTGTTAGAAAGATTGGAGCCAGGAAGCTGGGATCAGAAAGACAAAGATCTGTAGAATCAACAATCCCTCATACCAAAAAAATCCAATGCTCATCAGCCACAGCCCCAGGGAAGCAGGATATGTATGACCTTTGGGACATAATAGGATTAACCCACCACCATCAGAATACCCGAAAGGCACACTCAGACTCAGGTCAAAGGTCATGCCACAGGAACAACTCCAAACAAAAGCCCAAGCAGGTATTAAAAACCCACTCTACGCCCTACTACATGTGGTCAGTTTTTCCAGAATCATCTGTGGGAACTCAACAATAAGGTGACCAACTTTTTTACAGTGAAAAGGAGGACACAAATAAATTGAAGAAAAAAAATATCTTAAATAAAAGAAATATTTTATTCATTGCAATAATAATACAGAATACACTATAATATGATAAAGGCATGATAAAAAAACATTTGTAACAATAACATTTTATATTGTAATTATGCTTACATGCCGTGCCCCCGCCCGCAGCTGCCCCGCCAGCATGGCTGTCCTGCTGTGTAGACCGGGCCCCGCAGCTCCCAAAGCACCAGCTGCACCGGCTCCATCCGTGGGGGACAGCCCGCTGTCAACACAGCCCACCTGCAACTGCCCCACCAGCACCATTGCCCACCCTGCACAATCCCGTGTAGAGCAGGCCCCGCGGCTCCCACAGCACGGGGGCAGCCGGCCACCACCGCCCCTCACACCCCCACCCACAGCAGCCCCGCCGCCCCTGCCTCTTGTGCCCGCAGCCATTATTGCCCTAGCAGGGCCAAAGATCAAGAGAAAATTACCATGGCATCGCCGCTCCAGTCTCCTCCAGGTATCTTCGGGACTAACTAGGAGGTGGTGTAGTTGGATAGCAGGGAGAGGTGCAAAGTTCCTGCCAATTCACCTTCGTTGCAGACAACTTACATGTGCCAAGTTTGCCGGCCGGGTGTTTTGGCGTGCTCAGCAGCAATTCCTATTGGCTTTCGAAAGCCAATAGGAGTAGCACAGCTCATGTAAAAGTTGGAAAAAAAAACATCAAAAAAGGTGCCTGAACACTGTTCTATGAGAAAAAAAAAAGACCTGCAGATTAGTCTTCAAATATCGAAAAGGAGGACATGTAGGAGGACACTTTTTGAGGGAGGACAGAACTTACAAAAGGAGGACTGTCCTCCCTAAAAGAGGACGGTTGGTCACCTTATCAACAACCTTTTGGAAGCAGACCACACTGTCCTAGATGCTGCCTCCATCCATTTGAGCCATGGAATTGGGTTTTGAATCCAGCCTCTCACAAGTCTCAAATTCACACCATCCCTTCCACTCAGCTGCCCAGGTAACTGTGAAAATGCCCAGATTTTCTTACCTGGGTCTGTGCACAGAGTTTCCCAGCAATTGGTACTTGACTCACCTCCTTCACCTTGCCAGTCCTTCAGACCCTAGGGACATTCTCACCTTACTGGGCATGTATGTCTTGCCAGTATTCCAGGACCCTCGGGACATCAAAAAAAACCTGATCTGACTTCCTTTTGTTCCTGGAATCCACTATTTAGTGTCCGGTTCTTCACGGGTACCAGACCGGGGGTGGTCACCTTTCAGGAAACCGTCAAAATCGACGTGGCGCCTGTCCCCTTAGGGGTAGCCACTCCTCAAGGTCCGGGGACCGTTTGGATATCCCAGATGAGCCCCCAAGTTGTTTGGAACGTGGCTCAAGATCCAAAAACAAACAAACCCACTTGGAATTCCAGTAACAAAGGTTTGTTTAAAAAGAACCCTTTGCAAAGGCTTGGTGAACTGAAAAACACACAGGAGTTCAGTCACACCTTAAAGAACAGTTTGACACAGGTCTCCCTCCCCTATCGCACTCAACTCAAGTAGCACTTGTTTGCTACTCTGAAACGCCTAAAACCGCTACCCTTCGTATGCCCTTTGTATCCATTTTATCTAACATCATTTACTTTTTATAAGCAAAGCCTACTTCTTATTCTGTCTGCGTTTATGCTTTTTAGACCTTGAGCTCTAAACTTTATGTTCAGGTTTTGTATTTCCTCTACTTGCAGTTTCAGTTAGCTAGCAATTTCTGCTTTTCATATTTGTACTTGCCATCTTTTAAATAAGATAAGATAAGATAACCTTTATTATTTTATAATTTTCAGGTGGCCTAGCCTCTTCTATCAACCTTTAGACCAGGGGTGTCAAACTCAATTTCATTGAGGGCCGCATCAGCATGGTGGTTGCCATTGGAGGGCCGGATGGGCATGGCTGGCATGGGCGTGGCCTACTGGGTGGCATGGCTGGCATGGGCATGGCCAGCTTGATGTCACTTGCGTCAGGGGCACCTGTGCGGGCTGGGCAGGATTGGGGCGGATCTGGCTGAAGGGGGGGTGGGACTGGGGCAAACGCTGGGGCACGGTCCACTGGAGGAGCCTCACTGAGCCTCAGGCTGTGCATGGGGCCCGTGGACAGTGGCATGGACCGCCTGGAGCCCTGGGCAGTGGAGGTCAAGCGCCCATCCCAGCCCTTGAGCTCCCACGGCACCAGGACCCCACAGCCCTGCCTAGCATAGATGCACTTCCCCGAGGGGGGCGCCCAGCTGTACTTACCTCCTCCTCAAAGCTGCTACTGCTGTGCTTGCTCTCCTTGGCCAGGTTACTCATGGTGGGTGCAGGAGGGTAAAGTGCATGGTCAGAGGGAGACCCACTCACTCTCCATGAGAGGAGACCTGGCTTTGTAACCAAAGCATCCTCAGCAATAGGATAGGAGACCACCTGGGGATGGCAAAAGGGCAACAGGGCTGCTGGTGGCCAACTGCTAAGGCAGGACTTCCCTCAGACCCTCCCTCCCTCTTATTCCAATCTCCTTCCTTCCTTTCCTTTCTTTCTTCCTGTTTCCCTCCCCTCCTTCCTTCCTTCCCTCCCTCCCTCCCTCTCTCTGTGCCCAGGAAGGGACAAAGGAAGGGGGAGAGGTTGGCAGCGCTTCTCGCAAAGAATAAGAGAGTTGGAAGAGACCGTTGAGGTCTTTAGTCCAAGCCCCTGCTCAAGCAGGGGATCTATACCATTCCAGACAATGGAATGTCCAATCTCTACTTAAAAGCCTCCAGTGATGGAGCATCCACAACTTCTGAAGGCAAGCCTTTTCACTGGTTATTTGTTTTCACAAGTCCTTAGTTCTAGGCTGGTTTTCTTCTTGATTAGTTTCCATCTATTATTGCCTTCTGATGCTTTGGAAAATAGGTTGACCCCTTCTTCTCTGTGGCAGCCCCTCAAATATTGGAACACTGCTATCATGTCACCATCCCTAGTCCTTTTCACTGAGCTAGACATACCCAATTCCCACAAACATTTGTCATATGTTTTAGCCTCCAGCCCCCTAATCATCTTTGTTTACCATCCAATTAGGCCAGATGGTCCCCCTGGTTTGGTTTATAGAACAGTGGCCACAAGCAGAGCCTTTTCAAAGACAGCACCCCAATTATAGAACTTTCTCTCAAGGAAAATATGAACAGTGCATCCCTCACCCGCTTAGAGGCAACTCCAAACACACTGTTCAGCCAGGCATATGTCGAATAACAACACATTTTATGGTCAAACAGCACTAAATAAGTTACTACTACTATTTTTCTTTCTTAGAATACACCCTTTGAATATTGTTTTAAGCAGTGCTGGTGATGCTTTACAATAGCTGTCTTTGAGAGTTTTCTTGAAAACCACCCTGGATTTCTCAGAAACTTTTAATTTTGAATTAGATGTTGATTTAATAAATTAGGCAGACGAAACAAATGTTTAAATACATCTAAATCCCACAGACCTACTGCCTCCTAGGTGCATATTGCAGAGAAAATAAGGCATTGCATTTCTAGCCAGCATAGCCACAGGATGATGGGAACTGTGGTCCATGACACCCACAAGATATTAATTTGAGTAAAACTGGGTTAAATTATGAAAGAGCAGATGAGGGGAAGTAGAAGCAAGAAACACTTTCCACGTCTCCAACAAAATAATTGGGGGGGGGGAGTTCACTCTGCCTTTTAATTTCAATTCATACCAATTCCTCTTAACTTCCCATTCAATCCAAAGAGTTCTATTATTGCCTGGATCTCAGGGAGGGGAGGAGGCAAGAATAGACCACAAAGCCAATCTGTGAGTTTGTTCTCTCACCTGCCTGCAAACACCTTCCCGCCATAGCACTTGTGTGTATGTGTGTGAGAGACAGAGAGAGAGATCCCCTTTTTGCAAGCTTGCTTACTCTGCAACGCTCCCTGTTCTCCACACTTTTGCTTCCCTGCTGGCTCAATCTCTCTCTCTCTCTCTCACACACACACACACACACACACACACACACACACACAGAAACCCTTCCTGCTTTCTCCCCCTTCTCGTTCTTTTCCTGAACAGAGTGGGAGGAAGTTAAAAAAAAAAGAGAAGGGGTGGAAGAACAGGGGAAGCTCTCCTTTTTTGTAACACCTCGGTTTCCTTCTCCTCCTCTTCCCCTC